ACGCAAGAAAATTACCTTTCTTCTCAAGCCAAGTCTTAAACTTAATGCAGTCTTTCTTCATGTGTCCCTTCTTTTTACAAAAGAAACACGCAGACTCCTTCTTTATGCCTTGCTTAGCTGTAATCTTTCCCTTTTGCTCAATGTGATCCTTTTTCTTCTTTGAAGAAGAACCAGTAGTAAGGTTCACCTTCTCACCTTCTTCCATCACTAGTCTGCCCTCCTCTTGAACACACATGGTCATAAGTTCATTAATTGACCATTTATCCTTATGTGTGTTATAAGAGATCTTAAAGGGGCCATACTGTGGAGGAAGTGTGCACAAAATGAAATGCACTAGGAAAGAGTCAGACATGGTAACTTCCAAAGTATTAAGTTGGGCCGCAATATCCCTCATGCGCATGATATAATCACGCACACCCTTAGTCTCATGGTGCCTCATGGATGAGAATTTCATAATTAAGGTGCTAGCAAGAGCTTTGTCAGAAGTTGCAAACTGCTCATCAATGGCATAAAGGAGATCTCTAACCTTAGTATGCTTATCGACAGAACCCCGAATACTAGCACAAATTTTGGTCTTTATGAACATAACGGAGAGGCGATTAGATCGCTCCCACTTTTCATAAAGATTAACTGCATCTGGAGGTGCTAGTTTCAGTTATACCCGGTGGTTCGTCTTTCCGAATAGCATAGTCGATATCCATCCATCCCAAATGCAGAAGCACTCTTTCTTTCCACACCTTATAGTTATCACCCCTTAATTCAGGAATGTCACAATTGACATCAGAAATATTCCCAGGTAAAATTGCTACAAACAAATATATATATATACATGCTTATTAACAAAATTGAGACTTAACTTTATCATGCTTTACCAATGTAAATCATGCAAAATATGAATCTAGTGACATAAAACCTGCCTGTGGGCTAAAGTCCTACTCAAATTAGATTCATAAAAATAACCATATGATGAAACTATCAAATTATATTCATTCCTTAATTCCTGTGGGTAGATTAAGGAACATAATTTTATATTTCATCCCAATTAATCATACAAATATAATCAAATTTCCTGTGGGCATATTTAATCATATTACATACAATTCATTACAAATTAATGTCTAGTTTCCACATGTAATTCCATAAGAAATTTTAAATAACTAGAGATGTTGTGGCTAGTCTCTAATTACTAAAATTAACGAATCACTTGACATATATAATCATTTAATATATTATTCATTCACTTCAACATAATGTTAATGAATAACAGTAATTAAAATGTTAAAGCTCTATAATTTTGATCATTAAATGTCCACTAATTTAATAAATATCACTAAAATATTTAATGATGAAATTAATATGCAATATATGTCCATATGATCAAAATACAACACTGTATCTTATAGCATGATATAAAAATTATGAATAGGAACATACATCAGTACTCCTGATACAATATATTTTGCCGACTTCGCAATAGTCCAAAATTTACATAGATTATTAAATTAATACACATGCTATATGCAAAAGCGAACCGTCAATTTACAAACTCCTATCATCTTTGCTTTTATCATTTTACTACTTGATTTAGATTTATTCCAACATATCAAATAGTTTCTGTCAGTAAAGCTATGCTATTTCTAGCTATAACAAAACTTTTGTCATTTTTCAATTAATGACAATGCGTAGACTACCTACATTATTAAGCAACTACGTACTCATCAACACAAATGCCCATGAATAATGTTTCCATTTGTGCATTGAAAGAAAAATAATAATGTGATGTACGTAGCTCTAAACAAATATCAGTGAGTAAAAATCTACACAATATTTAGCAAATCATATTTTATGTCGTAACATCTTAATTTTGCTAATTTCAATAATAAAGTGACAATTTTCATATCAAGCAAGGCAGAGGCAATAACTCGCTCTGATACCAAATGTAAAACATATCACATAAATTTACATGTTCTAATTTCCATATGAACATATAATAATAAAGCGGAAGCAACAAGATAAGATCGATTAATTTACCTCCAGCCATTGCTTTTGAAAACCTCAGTAGCACTTTAGAAAGCCCTAATTAATGTTGATGGTTCCAAACCCTCCTTTCACTTTTAGATGGTGTATAAAATATGAGAGTAGATTTGGTGACCTTTCATGAAACACACATTGTCTACTTATACTACTCTAGCCATCATAGAGTAGTGGACAAGATAGTGAAAGAGTGGGAGGTTTCCAAAATGTGGGGGAAGATCACGGGTAGTTGCCTTGATCATTGGCAACTTCCCATTAAATGGATCATTAATTTTCCACACTAAAATAATATAATATATTCCTATAAAAGTGGAAAACGTCTTACATCCTTCCTCAAAACCCTATCCTCGATCTCCCCAATCTTCTCCCATAACCCATAATACTCCTCTGCACCCCCAATCACACTCTCCAACCTCTCCAACTCCCCCTTCGCCTCCTCCTTTCCCTTCAAGATCATATCTTGCTCCCTCTTTGCCGCCAGTGCGGAGTCAATTAAATCTCCCGACTTCTTCACAAGCTCCGTCTTCTCCCTCCTCAGCTCCCTCAGCTCCGAATTCAGCTCGTCAATAGCCTCCCCTTGAATCTCCTTCCTCTTCCTCTTCACCTCCTTCAACGCCGCCCTCACCGCATTCATCTCCCCTCTACCAGACTTCACCTCCTCAACCCTCTCCAAGAGAACCGCCACCGCC